TGTGATTGTGATAAACTTTAAGAAATATTAAAATTGGTGGTGATTTAATTAAAATTTAAAAATATTTTTTTTGAAAAAATACAAGTTTTTATTTTTAGTTTTGCAGTGTGATTGTAAATCTAATCAAAGCTTACATATACAATATTTTGATATTTTTTCTAATATTTTAAATTATAATTTGTAATTTGTTATAGACTATATTATCAAGCTTTTGAATTATTCTTTTATATAAAGATTTCAAGAAGCTTGTTTTGGGCAGATTGTAAATCTTACTTTAATTGGCTAAACTTATAAATTTTTTTGTTATATACCTTCAGTATGTCAAAAAAAATTATTTTACAAAGTACTATAAGAAAAGTATTATAAATAATTATTTTGTATACTATCTCAATAGTTCTCAGAAGAAGAAGCTACATCAAATATTTATATAATTGAAGATTTAATTAGTTTTTTTCAAGAAAAAACAAATCAAAATCATATTAATGTCAAATTCCAATAATAAATTTTCACAAACACAATATTGGCCAAATATCTATCAATTATGTGTTGATAACTTTAAATCTTATTAATCATTTGTACAAATAGATGGTAAACTTTACATTTTTACATTAAGCATATTAATTGATATAAACTTTATGAAGGTTAATTATAAAATAAAAAATTGTTAAAGATAGCAGAAAAACAAATTATGCACCAAAGTATTAGAACTAGAATTAGACTTTCACAAAGATATTTGCAAAATGTAACAATATAATATAATGTTGAAGCAAGGCCAAAAGTAAAGGTGATAGCTAATAATGGCTTTGGGTCTGGTTATCTTCCTCCGTGCAAGCCTTGCTTCATTATATTCATTTAATGTTAATAAAAATAAACATGTTATACGTATACTGTGTAACTTATAAAATTGGTCCGAGTTCGAAAATAATTACCCAAATAGTAGCCGTTCCAAATGGATTTAACCATGTTAAAAATTATTACTAGAATCTAGCTTATTAGAAATTAGTATTTGTTCCCAAGGTTATGTCAATAATTGTAATGATACTGTTCAAAAGTGAATATAGCAACTCAAGTAGCAATTACAAATTATTGTTTATAAAAATCACTAATTCCACATAATCAATGATGTTAAAATTAATTTTCTATTTATAGCGTAGTTCTAATTTCAACAGACATGCCGAGAAATTAAAATATACAAAAGTACATGTCTTTGTCCTTGGTTGAAGGAGAATATACACTCTCTGAATTCATCCTAAAATAAAGTTCACATAAATTTATGTTTTCTATAATAAATGTATAATAGTCATAAAAGATTCAAATTTCATACTTTAGTTTCAGTTTTTATAATACGTCATCCATTAGAGGCATAACTATAGTAAACTCTTCCTTACGATAGTTAAATTATGGATGTGCGTTTGATTATTTTACCAGCGATAAATTCTTAAACCAGGCCATCCAAAATTGGTTAGGACAATATTAACCATTAACAAGTCTGATCTGATCTGGCCTAATTCTGAAAAATATTGATAATAAAATTTTTTTTTTCTAATTATATAGATATAATATGTGCGTAACAATTTGTTTAATTAACCTGTAACAATATAACCAAATTAATTAACAGTTATAAAAATTTATTTTTATGTATACATAAAATTAATAAATAACTTTTATAGTCGCTAACTACATTATAACGTTAAATATAAGATTTTGATCTTAAATATTAAAAATCACTAATTAATAAAGCACTATGAATGCTATTATTTAAATCAAACATATTAATACTAAATAATTATTCATCAGCCCACTTTTTAACCCATTCCTTAACTTTTTCCAAAATTTCATGAATCTTTTGTTCATCACCAACCTCTTTTTTCAAAGCTTTTTTAGCTTTTCCATAACACATCTCACATTCATCCTTAAATGTTTCAAACATTATAATTTCCAAATATGCTATTGCTAATGCCAAACATAATACTTTTTCATTTCCAACTCCAATAACTTCAAAATCTTTAAAATCATTTTTACTAAACCAAGAATAAAATTTAGTAGATGGTAAAAATGAACCATCAAATGATTGAAAATCAAGAAAATTGTAAAGAGTTTCAATCATTGGAGGTTTTTATTTTACAGATATAGCTGGTAAAACTGGTTCAAAAGGTTTATAAATTTCATAAGAAGCATCGGATAACGATTTATCAGAATCATCGCCGTCAAGTAAAATTGGATTTGAATATTGCAACTCATCATTCAAAGATATAGGACGAGACTGATAAGATAGTCGACTTCTATTAGAAAGAATTGGACTTGAAGAAAGTGATGCTGCTTTGGATGTTTTTGATACACTAGCAGCCTGGATAACAGAATCACTACCTGCTGGAAATTGAGTATTAATTTATGAGAAGAACCAGTAACATTAACAAATTATACATTATATTGCTTTTGAATTATGATAATATATTACTTACATTTTTTATTAAGTGACGAGAAATAACCAGATGAAGTTGAATTATAATTAGCAGCTGAAAAAGATTCGTTATTGTAGCTCTTATTCATATTACTGAAGCATTCTAAATCAGTATTTAAAGACATAGAGTAAGGCTGAGAAGACAGTTGACTTCTATTAGAAAGCATTGGATTTGAAGAAAATGATGTTGCTTTGGATGTTTTTGATGCACCAGTAGCATGCATAACAGAATCGTTACTTCCTGGAAATTGAGGTACTGTTCCATGAGAAGAACCCAGTAACATTAATAAATTATACATTAAATTAAATTGCTTTTGGACTATGTTAATATATTACTTACATTTTTTAGATTTAGAAAAATAAGAATGTAAAGAGGATTTACGAGTTTTAAGTGAAGAGAAATAACCAGCTAAAGTTGAATTATTATTAGTAGCTGAAGGAGATTGTGCAGCTGGAGAAGCTTGTGAATAGCAGTTAGCAGCTGGAGGAGGAGGAGGTGAATAAGCAGCTGATCTAGAAGCTGAGTAATAAGTAGTTGGAGTAGGAGCTGGATTAGCTGAATAAGCAGCAGCAGCAGAAACTGGAACTATTTTTTGGCTTGGTAAACTTTTGCCTTCAGCCACTGACTCAATATTTCTTTCATCAATTGCAAGAAAACTAAATATATCAAAAAATGATTAATATTCAAATTAGCTGTAAAAATATAATACGTTAGGAAAAATTTATAAAAAATTACCTTGTATATTTAGAAGCCAAATTATACATTACACCCAATTTTACAATTTGCTTACGAATAAGTGAGTTTGGTAACCTTTTTCCCATATTTCTTGGATGCTTATGAATAAATGAAGTTCCATCTTCAATATCTTGAATAAGTTTTCTGGCAGCAAGTGTATGTATTTTTGATCCTTTTAAGATTTCGGGATCTAATGGAATAGAAAGCCTCATAGGACCATCATGAGAACTTGCACTCAATGTAATTTCTTTACAAGCTTCAACACCTTTTTCTAAAATGCAATAAACTATGAATCGAGCACCAGGATAAATTGGTGGAATTAAAAATGGTGCTTGTTGAATTTTTATATCCGTA